TTCTTTGGCGCGTCGTCCTCGGCCTCGGCAGCCTTTTTGGCCAGGCGGGCTTTGCGCTGCGCCACCGTCGACTCGGAGGCCATCGTGCACTCGCTCACGCATCTCCGCATCCACCTTCTCGGCCTGGTAGAAATAGTGCAAACCGCCGGCGTACGTTGGATTGTCGGCGCCGTCCATTGGCTCGGTGAGCGCCATGAAGTCAGCGTATGCGCTGCGGGTCGTGCCCATGCGCGTGATGAGGGTGGCCTCGGTCACGGTTCCCCGGGCGCGCAAAATGCGGATCTTAAGGCGAATGACGTGGCACGTCCACTTAGCTCGGAGCATGGCCTTGTACTCCTCGTCGTTTGGGTCATCCCGCTTCCCACGCAGGTACTCGAGCGTCGGGCGCTGGCGCGGAACCACCTCTGTCGTCTCGCTTGCCATGGCGATTGCAAGGCGATCGGTTGGATCGGCCGGTTCGCAAACAGATGCGATTGTTGGGATTGGCGCTGTTTTGAGCGAGGAAAAGTCGACGCTGTCTGTGATTGGCTATAAATAGTCCTCTTGCATTTAATTGGCTAAAATACCACCGCGCTAAGGCATGGCGATCTGACAAGCAGCCCCGCCATGATGGCAGTGAACAGGACGCATGGCCATCGATGGCGGTCGCTGGTGGGGCATGTAGCAGGCAACGAAGATAATGTACAATATGTGGGAATGCTTTCGATGCGGCACATCCGCGCCATCCACGACGTTCATTGAATCGAGTTACGGGCAATAGACCCAGCCATACTTGCTGTCGCGCTCGAGCGAGTACCCTTGGGGCATCGTCTTTTCCATCTTAAGTCGCTTGTTCGTTTTAGGCTTGTTCTCGAGGAGGCGGAGCTTCTCAAAGAAGAAGTACGCGGTCTTGTACACGATGCTGCCGCTGCCTTCCCGCTTCCCGTGCATCGCCAAGTACTTGCGCAGCGAGGCGACCGAGAAGCCCAAATGCGCCGAGAGCGCCACCTGCGTGCACTCCTTGGCGAGGATAAACTGCTGCAGGTGGTCGCGCACCACGTCGCAGTCGTCATATACATGGAGCTTCTCGGGGAGCTCGACGGCTTCGATCTGAGCGAGACGGTCCGCGCCCGAGAGCTTGGTCGTCTTAGCCTTCTTGGCCGAGGCCAACGGCGCCTCGTCTTCACTGTCATCGTTCGATGCAGCCTTCTTGCGCTTCGGTGCGGCCGCCTTGGCGGCGGCCTTGGCCTTCTTCTCCTTCTTCTCGCGCTGGTAAAAGAAGTGCAGAGAGCCCGAGTAGGTCGAGTTGTCGCACCCGCCGTAAGGGCCCTTGAGCTTCATGAAGCGCTGGTACGAGTTGCTGTTGGCGCCGATGTCTTTGAGGAACGCGGTCTGCGTCATGACCTTGGTCGCGAGGAACTTTTGAATCTTGGACCGGATTGCATTGCACGACCACTTCTCGCGCAGCATCAAATCGTACTTCTCGTCATCTGGGTCGTCCGACTCTTCGCTGGCGCTCAACACGGGCGCGGGCCCCGCCGGCACCTGGTCGGCGGCTTCGCTTGTCGTCTTCGTCGTCGTCGTGGTTGTCATCTGCCCTGGTATGCACTTTGACCTTGTCGCTCTGTGTACCGGTATGCGGATGGCATCCGGTTGTTGAGGTTGGCGCCGGCGGGAAAGGTCAGCAGCCGCCAGTCAAAGACCACGCGCCCTTCCAAGCAGTGACGAGCCCGTGGCAGCTACCATGGTCGTCCTTGCACTGTCCGGTGTGTTCGTGTTGCGCAGCAATCCAAAATGTTTCGTGCCAGCACTCTCTTCATGTGCAAGCGCAGCAAGAAGGGTGTTGAAAGTGTCTTACATGAAGTATGTGTTAGTCGGCTGCTACGTGCTGTCTAGCACGGATGCTAATAGGGCAGCACGGGCACTTCCTCGCCAGGAAGGAGGTAGTAGTGTGTCGGGTCCTTCCTCAAGGGATAGCCCTCGGGCAGCGTTTTCTCGATCTTGAGTCGCTTGGCCGACTTGGGCAAACCGTCCAGGAGCCGCCGCTTCTCAAAGAACCGGTACGCGGCACCATACACGGCGCTACCGCTGCCCTCGCGCCGCCCCTTCTTCATGAGAAAGTTCCGCAGCGGCGTGATCGAGAAGCCGAGGTGCTTGGCAAGATTCACTTGGCTGGCCTCCTTCGCGAGGAAGAACTGCTGCAAGTGGTCCCGCACAACGTCGCAGTCGTCGTACACGGGCGCGTCTTCGTCGAGCTCGACCGCGTCAATTTCCGCCAGGCGATCAGAACCACTGGCACTCTTCTTGGCACGCGGCGCTTCGTCGGTCGTCGTATCCGCCTTGCGCTTGGCGCCTGCTTTCTTGGCGTCGGCCTTCTCCTTCTTTTCCCTCTTCGCGAGCTCGTCAAAGAACGGAAGC